TGAAAAATAATAATACTTAAATCATTAAAACTCTGACGGGCTCAAAGCAGCCATGGACTGCAAGGCGATCAAACCGGACAGTCCTAGAGGAGATCAACCCTGACTGCTCTTTAGAAGGCCAGATCCTGAAGCTGAAACTCAAATACTTTGGCCACCTAATGAGAAGGAAGGACTCCCTGGAGAAGAGCCTGATGCTGGGAAAGATGGAGGGCAAGAGAAGAAGGGGACGAGAGAGAATGAGGGGGCTGGAGGGAGTCCTTGAAGCAGGAGGCGTGAGCTTAAAGGGACTCCAGAAGATGGCAGAGGACAGGAAGGCCTGGAGGAACGTTGTCTTTCTCTCTCGCTCTCTCTCTCTTTCCCATTTTTGCAAAATTTATACTGATCTTAAGAGCAACATTTCTTATGGGAAATAAAAGTTGTGAATTAACTAAAAGTTCAAACAAAATTGCTGGCTCGCTCAGCTACTTTGGGTGTTCAGAAAATATCCTGTAAATTTAGCCGCCTAACTTTTCAAACTGTTGATATATCACAAATGGCAACACAAAAGACAAGTTAATAAAATAAACAACAGTAGCTAAACTCAAAGACGCACAATTGATCAAATTTGCTAGCAAAAAAGCTGTTTCACATTCAAATTGTCCTGCTAATTAAAAATTCACAAAAATAATTTTGTAAAATTTATTGTCAGATCACCTAGACCTGCCGCTTTTAATTTTAGAAATATACTCATTAAATCAGTCAGGATATGCCGGAGATTTCATTCTTAAATAATGACATGAGGCTAGTTCCTTTACCAATTCTTGCAGTCTAAGAAAAGCTGGCAGAATATTTCCTTCCAGCTCGCGCAGCTGTTCTGCTTTATCCAAAACCTGTAAGCAAAAAAAAGATGTTTGTTACACAAAAATAATAATTTGAAGGTTCTGTTTCTACTACTCAAAGTATATTTACCAATACAAACTTTCTCTAAAAGTTCCTCAAATTACATTCTCCTAAGAAAAATGTTTTTTTTTTTCTCAAGCGGGCACAATTGGTTAAAAAGGCCAAGTATTTCAGTGAACTTATTTAATCTCCCTAAAAACAACTAAAATAGGTTTTAATCTTTCACTGGGAGCCATCCAGAGTTGGTTGAAAACTGGGCAGCTATATAAATATGTAAATATTTTAAAGAAACTAAATATTAGATTATATTTTGCTTTAAAGAAATAAAGTTAAGGTAGCAAGTAATAATAATAATAATAATAAAGTTGGAAGGGACCTTGGAGGTCATCTAGTCCAACCCCCTGCCCAGGCAGGAAACCCTATACCACTTCAGACAAATGGCTGTCCAGTCTCTTCTTAAAAACTTCCAGTGATGGAGCCTTCACCGCTTCTGGAGGCAGGTTGTTCCACTGGTTGTCAATAAAAAGCTTAATTTTTTTCTAATAGCTACTAAATTCCTATATCTATATTGAAATAGGTTCTATTACTTTTGAAAATATACCAATTGGCTGCTTAATTTTTAAAGGACTGGCTTTCGTAAAAAGATAGGAAAAGAAAACCACATTTTATTTCTGATGAGGCTGAGCTATGCAGAACTTTGGACTCCATTTTCCAAAAATGCCCTTGCTTCATACAAAAAATGTTAGGTTTCCATACACGAAATAAATAAATAAGGATTCCAGAATGTAATCTTTCAATACATTATCTCAGTATAAAATAGATACTTACAACATATATGGTCTGATTCTGCAGATCAGGCGTCAAGGCCGCCTTTTTAAATAAACGCACGAAATCATTGAATGTGTCGCAGGATGCAAACGAAGGATTTCCTTCTTCGATTAAGAGGCCTTGCAACTGTCTCAATATTTCTTCCAGAAGTAATCTGGAAGTAAAACATTCGTCACAATTCACAAACACATGAGGAAGCTGAAAAGAAAGAGAACAAAATACAGGTTTCCTTCTGTTTTATTATTACAAGGCTCTCCACGGCAAACCTAACTTGGGACTGTTTACAAAGTAACAAAACAATAAGAAAACAATTGTCTAAGACTAAAAGATATGCTAACTCACTAATTACAGTTGATTTGTAAAAATCACTAAATAGCTAGAATCAGAAGTGAAGGCTGCATGGTAATGCCATCCCGAGAACACCATAAATAATCATGAATATTGTAGGTCCATGGGTGTAGAAACTTGATGAGTCTACTGGTAAAAAAGTAAACAATAAACACTATTTATTTGGCTTTCCCTTTTTATAAATACAACTCTTCCTTTCTTTATAAGGACAAGGAACTATATATTTTGAGCATAGATGGATGGTAATTCACAATTACCGACACTAGGCTAAAGGCAGCTGCAGAAAATTGTTAATTTGCTGCCCACTGGCCCTACTCACCTTCACCCAAATAGAAATAAACAGAACTTTGGTTTTCTGAATTATTTTTATGCTTTGGCCACACCCTGCCAAAATGTTTCTGGACAACTCCACTTAACGTAATGAATGTTAAGATGTTTCTCTATATCAAATGTGAATCCCTGCTTAAAGGAAGGAACAAAAAATAGCATTTCAGGTTTTTTTCAAAATCCTTTTTTTTTTTAAAGAGAAAACTGATAAAGTAGATCATTCTTACCTCCAAGATTTTTAGAAGGGTCTGCACCACATAAGTCTTTCCACTGGATGTGTGTCCATATATGAAAAGGGCTGGAAAGCTAAAATGTTGGCGCTAGGAAATAATATATACATACATATTTAGGAAGGGTTTTGTTTTTTTTACTTTAAGCATACCCTGTCCTTTGTTTAAATGGTTTTGAGGACTTTGACTCATTTTTTTTTTTTACGTTAGCTGAACAATGATTGATCTTGCTTAAAAAGGCAGCAGCTTCCTTTTATCAGGACAAAAGCATTCCTAACACATCAAATACTAAGGAATAAGGGTCAAAAACATGAATGGCCTGAAGTCAGCATCGAAAACTCCAAAAACCCTACACTACCCACATGGTCAAATTAAGGCAAGGTCAGGGGAAAAACTACTAATTTATTGATTCTAATTCCTTCTGTATAAAATGGATTCTCCAAATGCATGCACCAATCGCTCTTTCTCACCAAATAGACATGAAGCACTCTCACATACAGAAAAAGGCAAATTTCGACTTGCGTGCCTATGTCCTTTGACAGAAACAGCAAAGTGAGAATGAGACAGAGGCAGAAAGAAAGACAGAGACACAGACAGACAGAGACAGAAAGACATACATACAGAGAAAGAGACAGAAAGACAGAGACATACAGAGACACAGATAAAGAGATAGACAGACAGACACAGATAGATAGACAGAGACAGACAGACAGACAGACAGAGAGAAAAAGTGAAAACAAAATTGAATGAGGCAAAAAAAAGGGCCTTGAGAAGGAAGGAAAAAAGGGAAACTTGAAAGTTAACATCACAAATAGTTAAAAGTTGGCAGGCAAGTGGATCTTCCCAAGCCTCATCTTCAAGGTGTCATCTTCAAATGCACCTTTTGAAATCTCTCTATGGAGATTCTCAGTCAGTCATCCAGGTCAAGGTTGTCTCAAGGTGTTTTTCCAAAGGCAACTGGACTTCCTTGATTTTTTCCCCTAACGTTTCCCTTCCCATCCAAGAAAGTCCAGTTGCCTTTTGAAAAACCCCTTTAGAACAGCATTGACTCTGCTTATTCTCACTTCCTGCCCCATTGCTGTGAGCAAACAGGAAGAGAACTCAGTTTGTGCCTCACTCATATGTAATTGTTTTAAATAATACATCTTCAATTTCAATTCCAAGTAACAAGCCCGTTTGTTGTTACTTGGAATTGATGGGAGCAGAAAAATGAAATCTTGTGTAAAGACACAACAGCAGTTCCCGTAAAGAGCAAGACAAGAGATGTATGGCAGCACCCCACCAAATACTCGTAACAATCCTAAAAAAAAAATAAATCATAACAATCACCCTTATTTTACAAGAGCTTCCTGGAAAGTGAAAAGCTTAAACTGATGTTTCTCGCCCCAATAAATAATACGCTGCCAGAGGTGAGGAGTTGAAAGCATCTTAAAAACGACCCTTCCTTTATAACACGAAACATGATGCCTCAAAGTCAAAAAAACAAGAGCCAGCATCTTATCAGAAAAAGATATATATATATATATAAAGGGGCACCTCTCCAAATATTGACAATAAGGTGGATGCTTGAGCTTCTCGACAGGGTATCATCGGAAGGTCAACTTCGTTAAAACGAAGCCCCATGAGACCCACAAAGTTTCGACTGTAAAATCGAAGACAAAGACACCGTCGAAGTTCTTACTTCCTTCCGGACTTTTTACTTTGCCATCATTCTAAAGGGTCCTCTTGATATTGGCTATGTACTAAGTGACAATATTTTCAATCAGGTTACAACCTGTTTTATTAAAAACAACAAAGCATCACCGACACATTAGGTGTTCACTTGTAGCTCAATATTTGAGGGGGATGGTCAAGGTCAAGGTTCTTTATAAACACAGGCAGTCCCCAACTTACCACAACTAAACCCAAAATTCCCATTGCTAAGTGAGACAGTCATTGAGTTTTACCCCATTTGACGACGTTCCTTGCCACAGTTGTTAAATGAATCCCTGCAGTTGTTAAATTAGTCACGCTGTTGTTAAGTGAATCTGGCTTCCCCATTGACTTTGCTTGTCAGAAGGTCGCAAAAGGAGATCATGTGACCCCGGGGAGAGGGGTAGACGCTGCAACCATCATATATACGAGTCAGTTGCCAAGCGTCTGAATTTTGATCACGTGACCCTGGGGATGCTGCAGTGGTGGTAAATGTGAAAAACGGTCCTAAATCATTTTTTTTCAGTGACATTGTAACTTTGAACACTCAGTAGATGAACTGTTGTAAGTCCAGGGCTACTTGTATAACATTAGCCAGACAGGACCTCACCAAGGTTTTCTGACCTCTACACCAGGGTAACGACAATGAAAATCCAGAAAACCAGATTTTCCCCCTATATTATTAACTAGCTGTACCTGGCCACGCGTTGCTGTGGAGCTGCAGAACGCGATCGCCGTGCTCGCAATCGTGCATCCTCAAGTCTGGCTGCACGTCGCTCTGCTGTTTCCTCGGCACGTGTTTGAGCCATTCTTTGTCTGTTTCGCTTGTTCGCTGATGCCCGTTGTTCTTCAGTTTGATTTGCAATTACTCGTCGCACTGCTTCCGCTCCGCGAGTACGACGACCTAAGTTTGATCTTTTGCGAGGCATTATTTGGATGAACTAAAGCAGATCGATTGCACTGAAAAAGAAGAAAGTTATAACAAAAACATATAAAATTGCAAAACATTAAAAAAGGGGAAAAACACGAACTAAAAAACAAAGAAAAAACAAAAAATAAAAATAAAAAATACTAACGAAATACCTCAATTCAAACGCAGATCAATCGACACAGCTCAATTCCACCGCCAAGTGCACTGAAAAATAAGAAAAACAGGTAAAAAAAAAAAACGAAATGAAAAACAATGAAAAAAGAAAAAAATAAACTATACTCACGAAATGAACGCTATGGTAAACGACACAGCTCAATTCCAATGCAATGTCGCACGAAATAATGAAATCAAAATGAAAATAAATCGAAATCTATGAAAATTCAGTTTAACAATGCAATCGGAAACATTGAAATGGAATCGTAAAATTTGGAAATCGTAAATGGATCGTAAATTGGAAACACTGAAATGGAATCGTAAAATCGTAGCGTGTGTTGCTTTTACGTCCAACAGATGGCGCTGTTTTTCAAAAAAAGCATGTTTTTACCTGTCACAGGTGTGACATCTATATAATAGTAGGTATATAAAAACACGCGCGTATTCGAATGCAACGCTGTGTCAAAATTTCAAAGGAATCGGTGAAGAACTTTCGGAGATTTAAGATTTTGAACAAACGAACATTTACATTTTTATATAGATAGATATAGATTATATATCCAGTATACACAAAGTAAGTAATCTAACAGGCTAATAGAAATGCATAGTTTTTTGTACAACTGTATTGTACAAAAAGGACAAGTAGGCTATAGTACTGCAATTAATGCAACTTTAAATATATATTCGACAAGGCTACATTCACAAGATAGGTTTACTCACAATTATGTGAGCTACACTGGATTCACATTTCAAAATTTGCAGAACACATTCACCGTAATCCAACAGGCCGATTAGAATGACATCCTAGCCTAAAATATATTACTGCAACTGGGTAGTCTTGTTTAAAAACATATAATTTCTTCAAGAAGAAAACAGATGAAAAATGTAAGGGGAAAAAATTCTTAATGTGATTTTTTGTTGTTAAACATTAAAGTAAAAAATGTAGTTTTCACTATATATATATTGATGGCAGTGTTTATTAATGTACTGAAGATAATACAGTAAAACCGTATTTTTATTTTCATGTTTTAATCCTGTTCTGTATATTGCCTAGATTCACTATGATCAAGGCAGCACAGAATCGTTAAATAAATAAATACTAGGATAAATTCAGCAATTCAGTACTTCCTCTATGCTATTCAATATTGATATTAGCATTATTGTATTATTTGCCTGCCCTGTATAAATTGAGAATTCTATTCTTCTCTGCCATACGCCTTGTTTAATACATATTTAATTGCTTGCATTACACATAAGATACTTTCCTTCCATTTTTCTTGTAGGGACATAGATCACCACAACAAAGATGAAAGGAACATTTGATGCGTATTGAATGTAAGATTACATTAATTTTCTTAACTCTTAATTATGTTACAAGTAGGGCTACCGTCTTGACATTGTATTAAAAATAAGAGGGATCACTTCAGTGACTGCTCATTGTAAATTCTGGATGGTGAAAAGAAGAAAACTATCCTTGTCTTAAAGATAATAATCAAGTCTTATTTTAGACTGATATGTTGTGCAAACCTATAATCTAAAGCTGGTATATACTTCAGTGCGCTGCACAAATTCAAAAGCTAAGTTAACCATGGCTAAAACTTCTACAGGAATAGTGGGAGAGAAATTAACATGATAGATTAAGTTAAAACTTAAGCCCATTTTTTCCAATGAAAATTAAGTTCAGCTAACTGGGGGATGGATGTCTCCTTCTGTACTACAGGTAATCCTCAACTTACGACCACAACTGAGCCCCAAATTTCTGTCACTAAGCAAAACATTTAAGTCAATTTTGCCCCATTTTAAGACCTTTCTTGCCCGTTGTTAAGTGAATCACTGCAGTTGTTAAGTTAGTTAACGCGGTTGTTAAATGAATCTGGCTTCGTCCATTGACTTTGCTGGTCAGAAGGTCGCAAAAGGGCATCACGTGACCCCAGGATGCTACAACCGTCGTAAGTATGAATCAGTTGTCAAGTGTCTGAATTTTGGACACATGTCCATGGGGATGCTGTAACGGTCATAAGTGTGAAAAACCAATCCCAACTCAGTTTTTTCAGTGCCGTTGTAACTTCGGTCACTAAATGAACTGTTGGAGGACTGCCTGTAATCTGACAGATCTAGAGACACCCAAGCTGGAGAAGCTAAAACTTACACCCGACCTTTCGTTTGCACACATAGATAGATAAGATAAGATATTATAGGTAGATAGAGATATGATATGATAGATATAAGATATATATTATAGGTAGATATATGATTGATAGATAAGAGAGATGATAGAGACATGATAGATAGCGATATGATAGATAGATAGATAGATAGATAGATAGATAGATAGATAGATAGATAGATAGATAGATAGATAGATAGATAAGATATTATAGGTAGATAGAGATATGATAGATGATATGATAGATATAAGATAGATACTATAGTAGATATATGATTGATAGATGATAATATAGAGATGATAGAGACATGATAGCAGTATGATAGATAGAGATATTAGACGTGATATAGAGATATGATAGAGAGATATTATAGGTAGATATAATAGATAGATGACAGAAAGATAGATAGATAGATAGATAGATAGATAGATAGATAGATAGATAGATAGATAGATAGATAGATAGATAGATAGATAGATAGATAGATAGACGTGATATAGAGATGATAAAGAGATATTATAGGTAGATAGATATAATAGATAGATGACAGATAGGTAGGTAGGTAGGTAGCTATATGACAGATAGATGGACAGACTTTTATTGTCTTTTTTTTTTTACTGTGGGCACACTGGCACACATTAAAAATGAAATTTAGTTGCTTGCTCTCAAAGTGTACACATACATAACACACATTTAAACATGCTATATACAACATATGTATAAACCTACACCCTTACATATAAATAGCATATAAACATTAATCACAGTCCATCTTGAATACATAACAAATACCCCCCCCCAGGCCCGTAGGCCTTTCTAAGGAAGGGTCGAGGAGGAGGAGGAGGAGGGAGGCGGTTAGGGCAGCCCCAGGCCAGGCCTCCCTCCCTCCCTCACCCCGAGAGATTTGGAGGATGGAGGCAGAAAGGCTGCGAGGCCGAGGTAGGAAAACTGAGGGCCCTTTACGACTCGTGGACTTCACCTCCCAGCATCCCTCAGCCAGCCAGGCTGAGCCACAGCGGCTCAAGGGATCCTGGGAGTTGAAGTCCACAGGGGGCGAAGTTGCCATAGTTTCCTCACCGCTACTTGGGAGATGGCCACGGCCACCTGGGCGGCCAAG